TGTCTGAAATCTCTCATATTGACTCATAAAACCCAGGCAGACGCTCACAAAACGAGACATAAAGCTAATGAATATAAAAAAAAAAAAAAAAAAAAAAATAAAAATAAAACAAAAAAAATGAAACGTAGAGTATTTAATTAATTTAAACCGAGCACTAGGTAAAACCCAATAGAAAAAAAAAAAACAACAATCACAATAAGCACTAATCATTTTGTTTTGACGCTGATTTTGCTCATTCGCCGACTTAGAAGTGTAGAGAAATACAACAACAACAACAACAACAGCAATAACAATATTGAGGTGGGCTCGCCAAAAAAAAAAAAAAAAAAAAAAAAAAAAAAAAAACCTTTATACATATACACATATGATAATACATATATGCTATATACTATATACAAGTGCCATATAATCATATGTAGAAGCTACAGAACAACAGGTGACAAAGCGACACTTAAGCATCTCCGACTGCATAATACTCTGCTGTTTATTAATCTAAAATGTAGATGAATAATGGGAACATCAACTCTGTGAAAGGTTCAGGGCATCTCGTAGTCGAGCAGTATCTAAACTAGCGTACTCTTTCTTGTCTATTTTACTTTAGTCTGTAAAAATGATCATTAGATCTTCTGATGACTATAGTTATATAGGAATTTGTCTAGTTATGTGAAGAAACTTTTAATTCATTTCCACTAACAGCAAAGTGGCCAAAATTTTTATACTCTCTCATAATATTAATAAACATAATATTAAAATAATTATAGAAATTAATATATATTATAGTATATAAATATATAAAATAGTTAATACAAAATAATAATAATTATAAGCAATTGTTGCAAAAAAGCAACTTTACAGAGTATAGCCTAGTCGATCAGGTTTTTTTTTTTTGTTCGGTTTTTCTTTACTTCAAGCTGTTGCTGTGACTTTAAAGCTTGTAGCTTTGCATACCAATATAACCTGAAAAGCAAAGTCGCGACAACGCCCCTCGATCATTAACTAATCTAGCGAGCAGAAAATTGCATGAATATTGCCCGAAATGGGGGTGGGGCGTGGGGCGTGGGGTTGGGGGCTATTGGCGGCAAGCAGATGACAGACTATGAAGGCGAACTTGTCGTCGTCAATTGCTGACTACTTCAAATCACGAGACTTGTCAGAGACAGACAAATCGAGAGAGAGGGAGAGAAGAAGAGCGAGACTGAGTTACAGACAGTGTAAACGTCATGCAGAAATAAAGAGAAAATATCGACTATAACTTATGCGATATACATATACTTAAATTCTTAACCGGTTGAAATAGGTTTTTTCTATGAATAACAGCGCCGCAAATCTCACGATAGAATCGTGAACATGTCCAGAAAGTTCCCCCGCATGGCGGAAACAAGAAAGCATTCCAGTTAAGGATTTTTGCACATGCTCAAGAAGTTATGATGGGAGTCCTACGAGCTAGAAATGCTTCAGCATTGAATACAGTCGAGTCTCTATAAATCGTACGCCGCTAAATCGAAAATCGCGATAAATCGAAAAAAATCTATCCCCTTGAAAGAAATTCGTTCTCAATAATCGATCTCGATAATGTGAATTTCTGTGCATTCCCTTGTCATTTTGAATTATCGGGATTCAACTTCGAAATTGGATAACTGCTAGCCAAGCTAAAATTTTGTAAATCGACTTTTTTGGTAGTTTGCACAGCTGTAAAATTCCAGAAATTTCTATTTTAAAAATTTTGCTGACTATGGGTTTAAAAGCGTGCAACGTATGCTAAATCAAGCTGAAGTTGGATATATATATATCAATGAAAATCAATAAGTATGTGAATAAAACGCTATCGAAACTCTATAAACATGAAGGACAACTCGAGTATTGATTCTGACAAAAATAATAAACAACGAAAATAAAATGTTTATGTCTAAATAAGAGGGGAGGAGTGCAAACGTAGCATGAATATAACAAACAGAAGAGTAAAGCAAAAGCTCAATTTCCTTACGCTATATAATAATATACATATATGTATAGTCGAGTGTCGATAATTTGTACCCTGTTAAATCAAAAATTTCGATTCATATATTGGAAAAAAGTTCTATCTTCTTGAAAAAAAATTTGTTTTTGATAATTCACGATAATTTTAATTTATGTGTAAGTCGAAAAAAAAAACTGATCCCCATGCCATTTTGAACTATCGAGATTCGACTGTAATATATTTATAGATATTATTGTAATGTTGTATTAAATCGTACATCAGATTATTTAAGAGCCCGCACCACAAAATCCTTCTCATTTATATTCTATATTCACTTTGGGAATACATAATTTAGCTTATATTTCACATCAAAATGGAATCCTCTCGTAGTAATGAGATTATCGCTGATTCAATTAAAATTGCTTTAGCAGCAGGATTACAGGTAATCGAGGCAATAATTGAAGTGGATCGAACACGTACCGAAGCTCAAGATGAAAGTGGATTGAAGTAGGTGGGCGGGTGTCCTATACGATAAGCTGCCTTGTATATTAGCTAATACAAGGCAGTCGCTGTTGTCAAGGACTACGACTGGAAGCGCATCAGGTGGTAGCTTCTGAGTCCGCCAGGTACGACCTTGCAGACACGATTAAGTTCTATTAAATGAACATTGGCAAACATTGTCGAATAACACCTAGGAGCGGAATGTCCACAGACACAGGATACAGACACAGGACACAGGACACAGGACACTGACCGCCCGTACTATCATATAACGGTGTTCGAGCACAAAATACATACACTCAAATTGACAGCCATCGTTAAGTGCCAGCACCAAAGGATCCTTATGAGCCATTATTATTATGCTTTCTAATCAATACAGCGACAAGAACCAACAACTATAATTGTTGCTGCTCTATGTACAGAGGCATACCCTGTAATCACGTTCAAGTAGAGTATATGCGCATCAAATGGTTGACAAGCGATTATTGATGATTGAAACGATATTTGAATTTAACAATTAAAAAATAATTTAATTTGGATAGCAATTTTTGATTACATTATACTATTTATATTGATAAATGCTTAAATTAAATTTTAACTTTGTATTTTTTTATGTTTATTATCTATTTAGAATTTTTAAAAAGGGTTTTTTTTTATATTTTTGTATTTTATTTAATTATTCTTTTATATTTTTTATTATCTTATATATGTTGTCTTATATTTTTTTGAAAATGTTTAATATCTATTTATAATTTTTAAAAAGGTTTTTTTTCATATATATACATATATGTATACATATATTTTTTGTAATATTTTAATATATTGTTTTTATTTTATTTATTTCTTGTATTTCTTCACTTTCATATTTTTGTTAATTAATTTTTTATTGAATATATTAACTAAATTATACATTTAATACATTTATTTTCAAGTATTTTATAGTTTCTCTTAATTTTCTTTTCTGCTGTGTCCGATCCATTAACAGACCTCAAATGAACTAAGGCAATTAGGAATATAGTGGCGGGTGCGACCGACTGCATAATACTCGTTCATAAACTAAAAATAGTTAAGTTTCCGAGCTGCCACGCCTCATGGAGAGTGCATATAATTATAGGTCAGCTTCAAAACTTGGTTCCCCCAATATATATATATACATATATGTATGTACATACATATATTGAAATATGGATTATCTAGAAAAACCAATAATTCAAGTAAAAGGAAAATATACATATTTCAGAGCGAATTATTTTGTTTTTTATATGTATATTTCATTTATATATACTCATATATCATTTATTTTATTTAACAAATTATTTTACTATTCTCTGCATGCAGCAAATTATTTTCATATTTGAGAACAGATCAATCTCTCACTTGTCTTGCTGCACGTGCAGGGTATTTTATGATCGAGCTCTTGTATGTATGTATGTATGTATATATATGTAGTTGATTGTTGTTTTTGTACTTGCCACGTGTGCCGCGTGGCCTACGCAAAAGCTACGCAAACAACCTTACCCAGACGACAGAATCATAGATACATACATATGTATAGACATGCATACATACATACATACATACATACATATGTTTGTACATACATACATAGAAACCAATACTCTAACACACTCAATTTAGTCAACAACAGCGAACAACGTGCTGTCAACGTCGCCGTCGCCGTCGCACAGTGGGACGAATTTATTGATCAAACATCAATTTTAAGGGAGTTTTGGTTTAGGAGTGAACCAAGCGCATATTGGTACCATGATATTTTTTAATGAGCTGTGGCATTATATTGTTTTCTTGAACAAATATATAATAAAAGAAAATTGAATTTAATTGGAAGTAATAAATTCTAAGCTTCAGCTTTGATCGTTTAATTATGGATATGTTAAGATCTTGCAAGATGTTGCTTTAGACTTTTACCTGTTTAATGCTTATTCACGTTTTTTTTTTTTTTTTTTTTAATTTATTTAAAACATATTCATCTTGAGAAATCGCACTTTTGCACTGTCGTAAATTTACCAATTTAAGTGATTTTAATGCTATATGCATTTCTGGTATATACTGTCGTAATGCTATATAAATATTAATGAGAGCGCATTGCTTTGACCCACTGTGCAACGCTCTCGATGCTTTGAATTGTATACAATCGTGTGGCCAATGCGATGAGGTTTCTTGGAGGCGCCCCCACATTGACATAATGAGAAAGAAGAAGACAGACAGCTTACACACACACGCAGACACGGACAAATCAACAAGAAACAATTTTCTTAGTTAAAGTTGTTCAATTTTTATTTATTGTTTATTATTGTTTGTCCGTGTGCCGTTATCAAAATTCAAGCACACAATTAAAACATTCTTAAATGTGTGTATATACAAACACACATATATGTATCTATATATATATATATATTCATACTATATATAGGTTTGTAAGTGGAATGTAAGTTAAAGGCACAGGTAAAAGCGAGGGCAAAAAGAAAACAACAAAGTGATGTCCCAAAATGTAGAAATAAGATAATATATAACAACAACAAACCTGTTCCACCGCGCACCGCGTACGTCGTGGTCGCCTGCATCGATGAACTGGTGCCTGAACCCGCGCCGCCGGCTCCACTGGTTTTTGTGAATTTTAAGAGCATTGTGTTGATCCGTGTTTGCTGATGTTATTGTTGTTGTTGCTGGTGCTGCTGCTGCTGCTGCTGTTGCTCTTATTTCGTCTCCAAACAAACGCAGCAAGCACAAAACAGAATAACAAAACAAAAACAAAAACGAAACAAAACAAAAAACCACTAGGCACCAAAATGTAGCGTAATTTCACTTTATAGTTATTTATTTGTTTGTATATTTGTCTTTATGTATGTGTAGCTGCGGCTGCTGCTGTTTGATCCAACAGGCTAACGGTAACTGTCAAAACGGAGACAAGGCCCAAAGTCCGAAAGAAGAAAACGTCAGCGACAACGGGGTTTTGTCTATTTATTGCTATTTTTAGTAACAATTTTTTGTTTCCTCTCTTTCTCTCTCTATTGACACAGGGACAACGACGAAGAAAATCGCGCCTGCCGTTTCGGTAGTTCGTTTAGTTGCCTCCTTTCGCTTCACTCTACATTTATCAATTTTATCAATTATATTATTGTTCACTGTTTCACAAGTGCTGCTGCTTCTGTTCACGTTATTGTTATTATTGTTGTGTTGGGTTTTCTTTCTATGCTTCGTTCATATGTTTATACACGCGTTGCGCGTTTGTGTGTGTGCGTTGATTTTTCTTAGGTATGTGTGTTGGGAATTTGTTTAAATTACGTTTTAATCTAGCTTGCGGTGCATGCATTTTATGCTTTAACATGCCCGTTTCCAGCGTATAAGTTTTGTAAATTAACACACGTTTTGCACTTGAAAAAAAAAACATAAATACTTGGACAAATTCTAGTACGACGCTGGCCCATTTGCATTCAACTGGTTGAACGGCGTTGCCGGATCCCCAACAGTCAACCATGTGCCAGGGATGAGCAGGCAAACATGCTATCGATAAGTTGCCCTGACACCGATGACCAACCGACTGGCTGGCAGCCTTTCCAGTAGTTGGCAATGCAAATTTAAAAAATAAAAATAAAACTTAAAAAAAAAAGAACAACATTGTATTGAAAACAACAACAAAATACAGGCGAGTGTGATTTAATTACACAATCCAATGCATATTTATTAATGCAATTGCCCAGTATAATGCCGGATAAATTGTCTGTGGTGCCATCGCTAAGTTTATACGGGGCAATTGCAATCGGGGAGCGTGGCACGGATAAGATAATTCCGAGTCAGCGATAATTTCCTGATAAACAATAAACAACAAAGAGAGACTGACTTAATTCGTTTTCCAGCGCATGTATTATTAAGAACAGAAGCTAGTCAAATTTCGAGTGAGTGTCAAGCATGTGTGTCATATTCTTCTGTGCCAACTCGCAGCCCAATGCTAATGGCTATAAACTCATCTTGGCCTCCAATCGCGACGAGTTCTTTGCCCGCGATACGCAAACGGCAGCCAAATGGTCAAATGGCGATCACGTCTATGGCGGTGAGTGCTATCTACAAAGGTCAATCACACCTCATTGTTGTCACATAAAATAAAATATATCTATTTTTGTAGGCATTGATCTGGAACCAGGACGTGAGGGCGGCACTTGGCTGGCTATTGGCGGTGGGAAGGGCGTCTTCAAAGTGGGGGCTCTGCTCAATCTAACTGGCGAGCCAAAGCCTCGCAATGCAGTCGGTAAACACAACACACACACATACTCTCAGACATACACTCATACGCACACACACTCAAAGTAAAGCCAGTAACATCGGCTCCATTAATCCCATCCATTATTCCTTCATAAATTTATAACCCACAAAATCTTTTTGTTTCGAAGCGCACAAAAACATTTTGCAACCGCATAATAATACCAAGAACAGCTGCCAAGAGCATAAAGAACGCCACACAAATAACGAACATTTCTTATTAGGACGCGGCATGATCGTAGCTGACTATGTGCGTCAAACGGATATTGAACACAATATTGTAAATTATAATCAAAGTCTGCTGGCGGACTGCACCAAGTATAGTGCATTCAATTTTGTCTCCATTGAGATTGGGTAAGTGCAACGGTTTAATATATACATATGTGTGTATATATACAAGTATACATATGCATGTGTATGTGTTTAACTAGATCTGCAGCAGGCTTTCAGGCTGTCAACTTCGTATTTGCTCGGATCCATACTCTGTCGTTCCCCTAAGACACGATGTGAATGAGCGAGAGATCAGACTTTTCTCATCAACTCTCACTTACGCCATATTTTGCTTACTCTCACTGTTTCACTGTTATTGCTGGGGTCCATTGCTCGCCTGCACTCGTAAGACACAATGTGATCGAGCGAGAGATCCGATCTTTCTCATTAACACCCACATACACGACTTTTAACTTACTCTCACTGCTCCCACTTATTGGTCTCATTATGCTGCTTCTGCACGAAGTTCAGCGCATGTTCCTTGCGCATGCACGCACACTCACACGTCCTGCTAATATTTATGTGACAGTGTGCGTTAGCATTGCAACTTGTTGACAGTCAAGTGCCGTTGTTTAGTGAGAGTGCGAGCGAGCGAGGCAGCCGCGCAAATACGAAATTGAGTGGGATTAGTGCCAGCTGACTCTAATTAGAGTTTACATTGTAATACATACATATGTACATATTTTATTTTTCTTTTTTAGCTCTGACGGGCAGCCGGCTCAAATCAAGCTGCTGAGTAACGTGCCGCCCACGCTGTTGCCCTTCGAGCAAGGGCAGTGCTATGGATTCGGCAACAGTTTGCCCGAGTGTCCATTCGAAAAGGTGCAATACGGCCGCAAGCAGTTCGAGCAGATTGTAAAGGAATTCGGCCAATCGGATGTGGAGACTCTGAGCGCCGAGCTGCTGCAGCTGCTTAAAAATAAACACAAATTCTGGCCGGATGCGGAACTGGAGCGACGTGCGCCCAGCTGGGGCGAAGGCCTGAGCGCACTCAATGTGCACATCGCCGAGCACGGCTATGGGAGTCGTACCCATTCGCTCATCCTGGTCGACGCGAACAACAAGATGCATTTCATTGAGGAGACCATGCGTGGCCTCGATCCCAGCGCCGAGTGGGAGCACACACACATCGAAAAACAATTCGAAAGCTCTTAAGAAAAGCATTTCATTCTAATTTTACAAAATACATTCGAACGGGCAGGCTGTATACTTATAGAAAAAATAGAAAACACCAAATAGTAACCTCACATGGAACTACATCACCTTACAAAATAGCGAACAAATCGTTGACGCCTTACTCTGACTCTGACTCACAAATAAAATCAACTCATTCATGTTTAAAATAAACACGAATTTTCACTGAAAAGTTGTATGAATATATCAAATTGAAGACTGTATCCAATATTAGTTAAATACTAGTTCTCTAAGGCTCATAACTATAATTTACAACTAGTAAATCTAAACGTGCTCATTTGTATATGTTTATGTAATATAACTATAAAGCACACATGCAAATAACTAAGTTATATCTTTATAATACGCTTCAGACAGATTGTATGTAGATAAAAACTGTACAGAATGGTGCTATTAGGTGACTTGCTACTGCGTTTTATATACAAATAATTAAATGATTTGTGTCACCTGACATTCGGTTGCGTCACACGACTCTAAAGACTATATAATATTATGGCTAGCCGAAATATACGCTAAACTGGGATTCGAACCCGAGTGCTTGCTAATCCGTTTCCTAAAATATATATACATATGTATGCTCAGTACTAAAAACAAGCAAATAATAAAAATAAAACTAATATCAAAGATGCCTTGCAATAGACAATAACATTTCAAATTATTTTTTATAAGATTTACTAAAAAACTGTTTTAATAGTGAGCAAACTCTCATTGAAAAAAAATATATATATATATATTATATAGTCATACGATTCTTTATGAACAAGTTTGCCTAAACTATATACTAAGCGAATTCTCGGAAAATATAGAAAATAAAATATATATGTAGTTTATAAAATCATATCTAGGAACGAGATTGCCTAAACACCTCCCAGTTCTCATTTATAGGCCATGTGTATATAATAATTAAATAGTTGTAAATTATGAAATATTAACATTTGTATCATTCACATGATGAAGTGCTTCAGTATATAAACATTTATATATATATATATATATATATATATATATATATATATATATATATATGAATATGTCTGTATATGTGTTTGTGTTTTTATAAACTTATATATAGCAAAATAACAGCGAATTATACAAGTTATTCGGTTTATCTTTATGATCCACTTCTATTGCCGCCTCTCTATTTGTAACTCTTGGCAACACGTCCGCGCTTGCCGCCGCCACCCCCAGTGCCTCGCATCGCCTGCCCAGTCGCCGATTCGCCCCCCTCGCCGCCAGCTCCACGCACGGTGCTCTTGAACTTACGCGAGTTCATTGCCCGTTTGCTGCAATCAACAAAATTTATTAGATTATTTATTGATTATGTCAATATTTGGCCTCTTGGTTGATTGACTCACCGTTTGTTCAGCGTATTCCGTGACAGGGGTATATAAGCATACGGATCCAATTTGCCGCGCTGCTTCATGTCGCCCTTGGCCTTTTTACTGCTGTACTCGCTGCCAGCCACTTTGCTGCGTCCCCCACCCGACTTGACGGACATGGCATCTGTGGGCGTGGCATTCAGCGTACGATGTATGCCCTTGCGTGTGCTGGTGCTAGTCTTGCCGGAGCGCATGCTTAGTGCATCGCTGGCCTGTCTCTTGCGCTTGGCATTGGTTGGCTTGTGTAGATCCTCCTCATCACTGGAGTCCTCTTCCATGCCGCGCTTGGCGCCGCCGCCATTGCCCGCCTCATGGCCGCTATCAGCCGAGGAGTCATCGCTGTCGCCGTCATCATCCATTCCATCGCTCTTCTGGCCACGCAAAGCCTTGTCGCTGATGATTAGACGTCCATCTTCGGCGGTCTTAAAGCCGCCATTGGGCAGCTGTGGCTTCGCCTTGGACTGCTTGCCAGTCGCAGCAGCAGCCGCAGCAGAGCCACTTGCTATAAATAAAAAGGTCAGCGCACATTAGAGAGTAAATTCAGTTATGCTTAGATATTAAATCCTACTTAGCACATTGCCAATTGACTTGAGATCGGCCAAGTCGACAATCTCATCGGCATCCTCGCGTATGTAAGTGCTGCGCGGCTGCTTTGACTTGGCCTTTGATTTAGCCGAGCGACTCTTGGCAGCTGCGCCGCCCTCTTCGTCTTCCAAGTCCTCTGGCAGATCCGAGTCCGAATCAGCCAAAATGTCATCGATACTGCAAATAGTTAACTGTTGCTTTAGCACTTCATGATGGATTGGCAATGAATCTCATGTCTTACGTATAGCTCTTTTGCTCAAGATCACCCACTAGCTCCTCATCGGAGCTCTCCACCTGGGCTTCCTCGTTCTGCTTTTTACGTGTATCACGACGCATTTGTTTGCGTATCTTCTTGAGTCGGCGATGGGTTATCTCATCGTCGCCAGGCACAAAGCGCGCCAGCTCCTCCGTGGTGAAGCGCTTGCACAGCTTTTTCAGGAAGTAGCCAATTTGTATGCGGCAATAGCGTTTCGTATCCTTGGTCATGGCTGAAAGGGAGCGCATCTGCAAGAGATCAGCAATTAGAGAGACTCTAGTCAAAGCCAAAGAGATATATGAGAGCCGTCACTTACAATCGTCTCCAAGTGATTTGCTACAAGTGGTATGGGCATCACCTTAATGAATGTGATGAGAAAGGCGATGGCTGCCTCGGCCTGATTACGCGACTTCTGCACTATGAACACGGAAACCTGCTGCAGCACAAACTCCAACGTGCTCACAGTTAGATGCTGGCCCTGCTGCTGCAGCACCGCACG